TGTTTCAATGGACTGAAGGTTTGTAAAGAGTAAAAAGCACTTCCTCGGAGTGGAGACCCTCTGGTGCAGTGCAGAGCTCTCCATGTGCTTTCTGGAATGTGGGAAAAAGGCTGATGGAAGGGGTCTGCAAAGGCACTGACAGAAGATGTCTGTGCTAGCATGGGATCCTATCTGACAATTAGACCTGTGAGCAAGAAACATCCTTGTAAAGCACGGCCAGATTCTTTGAAGTGCAAAGGGGCACTAAATAGCCAGAGACATCCTGAGATAGCCTCAATAAAGGGAAGAACAAAACACCACTGGTCGTCTGGAGAGATGAGGAAATAGGCTGGAAAAGGGAAAGACAGCTTTAGAAAGCAGGAACTGGCAGCTGCTATTGGCTGTTCCAACTAGAGGAACAGAAAAATTAACAGGAAAAATGAAAAATGGTCAGAGAGAGTAGAAAATGTCCTTGTCTACTGGCTGTCCCAAGGGAAAAAAAGAAATTAGTAACAGCTATTGTCTGCTCCCAATGGTGGTGTCATACACCACTGATGTCTGCAATACAAAAACAACTTGCTTTCTTCCCAAAATGCAGCCCCTCTCTCCAAGGAATCCCTGTGCACAAATGTTTCTACAAGATCTTCTAACAGGATATGAATCCCTGATTGGGTAAGAGGCAGCCTGACTCTGGATCCAGTGATGTGGGTCATCCTTGGTGTGGGACTTTATCCAGCATTCAAGAAATCCAATGGAAAGAAGAAGAGAGTCCTTGAAGGTCTGTGTGTGAACATGACAAATCTGGGTAATATTATGATGAATCAAAAGTGATTCAAATTCAGCTGTATTTGAAAGCAGGATTTGTTGTTTAACTTCTCGCCTCTACTCTCATTTTCCAAGAGGAAGGCTGTTGTGTTGTCACCATAAGACAAACTTGAAAGTGAGTGATGTTTCTCATCCCTGGAGAGGCAAACTGATGTTATGTGTAACACAGTCTCTTTTCATGGCTCACCTGATATGGCACTCGTATCCCTGCTGACAACCCTTCAGGACACGTGGGAAAACAGGGACTACACATAACAGGGATTTTGCCCTCTGTGCACAAAGCTGTACCAGGATGGCAGCCAAACCCCTACTCAAAGGTTGACCATTCCATCCAACGTGCAAAATAACCAAGATATTCTCTCAAAGCATTGGTGACAACTGTGGAAATTGTACTTAAAACAAGAGCAAGAAGGCGGCTCACATACTGCACATACACTGCAATCATTGTTTACAGTCACAAGTTCATTAGGATGCTGCCACAACTCAATGTAGCAACAAAGAGATCATTGTTAAAATCCGAGGCTTGGCCAGCATCTCACCAGGCCATAACTTTCCCTTCCCAGTTCAAGAAGGTCCCGCTGTCCTTCTCGGAGAGGTTGGAGAGAACCTTCAGCATCCCTCCTACGCTCTCATCCACTGTCACCCGGGACTGTAGGGGCAGAAGGAGAAAAATGGCTGTGTGTGCCCAAGGGCCCAGCCTATCCAGGAGCCTTCAGTACACAGGGAGCTCCACATTCTCACTATAAGGGATTCTTCCAAACCTTGGCCAGAAACTCTTTACCTTATCTTCTAATGTGCCTCCCATGTCTGTTTTGACCCAGCCAGGATGGAGGGCCACACAGAGGATGCCATGATCCCGGTACCCCATGGACTGGCACCTGGTGAGCATGTTCAGAGCAGCCTGTGGGAGACAGGACAGGGATCAGGTGGGGATGAGAAGGTGCAGCACAGGGACCCCACAGTGGGCTTCCCATGCAGATGCCCAGTCCTGAAAAGGATCTGTACTGACATGGCCCTTTGTGGTTGAGCCTGGGACCAGGCATGGAAGTGTGTTATGAGGGAGAACCAGTGACTGACAGTACCTTGCTGCAACGATATGAGAGTGCTTGTCCGTACTGCCACAGATAGAGGTCCTGAATGGATCCAGCAGTGCTGGACATATTGATGATGGCTGCCTTGCTGCAGCTCAACCCTGAGCCTGGGTTCCCCTGGGCTGCCTTCTTCAGCAGGGGCAGGAATGCCTGTGGAGAGGGGAGAAGTGAAGATGATGGCAAGGTGAACATGAGCCAGCAGATGGCTTGGAACCAAAAGGGCTGACCATGTCCTGGGATGCCTCAGGCACAGCCCTGCTGATGGGCGAGGGAAGAGCTCACCTCAAGCACTGGGTTGGGTGCCACAATGCAAGAAAAAAGGATAAAACTACAATCGAGCATCCAAAGGAGGGCTGTGAGATGGGGAGGGGTCTGAGGGCGCTGTGCAAGGAGAGCTGAGGGCACTGGGCCTGCTCAGCACAGAGCAGAGGAGGCTGAGGGGAGGTCTCATGGCAGCTGCAGCCCCTCATGGCCTACAGCCCCTCATGACCTATGGCATACAACTCCTCACAGGGAATAGGGGACAGAACTCTTGGGACAGCAACAGGGCCCAAGGAAACAGCACAGAGCTGTGCCAGGTGAAGTTCAGGTAGGGATTAGGGAAGGGTTCTGAACCAGAGGATGGTGGGCATGGCACTGCTCTCCAGGGCAGTGGGCATGGCCCTGAGCTGCTGGAGCTCTGGGAGTGTTGGGGCACTGCTATCGGACATATTTTCAGGTGAGGCTGTGTTGAACCAGGGGTTGGAGCTGATGATTCCCATGGGTCTCTTCAAATTTGGGATTCCTATAATTCTATAATTCCCTCCACAGCAGCAGTGTTGGCACCAGCCCCACTGGCAGCTGCCTTCCTCTTCCTCCTGCCCCAAGTTCCAGCTCCTCAGCACCAGTCCCTGATCCACAACTTCTCAGAGCATCTCAGGAGCACTAGGCGTGACATCAGCAAAAGAGCAGAGGAGGCCTCTGTTCCACCGGCCCCTTACTTTATCCACTGGGGAGATGCAGAGACACAGGGCAGAATGTTCCCGGAGCTGTGGGTGAGTGCATTACCTGGCCCAGCAGCAGGGGTGCAATGGTGTTGGTAGTGTACACATGGAGCATGTCGTCTAGTGTCTCGTTGTCAAGTGAGTTGTTATTTCCTATACCAGCGTTGTTGATGAGGAGGTTCAGCCCCGAGCCCTTGAGGCGCTCCCCGACGCTGGCTGCGGCCGCCTTG